CAGCAAAGCAAGCATTAACATACTCTGAGAAGCAGCCCGTGCCCCATGCACACGTGCAGACACATAACCAGCACTCCCAGGAGAGTCTGAGACAGCCCACGTGCCTTGAGGCTGCACTGTGGCTGCAGCAGCAGTTCCTCCTAGAAGAAGCTGGTGGATGTTTTCTCATTGTGTGTCTGAGCAGAAGAGTGGAGAGGAAATGGCGAGGAACATGCGGATTACTGAGGAGAACAAACATTACAGGCTGAGGGCAGGTAGTCTTTTTTAAGCTTCTCTTTCTTCTTCTTCTTGTTTGATCAATATGGTACGCAATAAAAAGAGGCATGCAGCCAGATCCCCATAATTTCCAGTGCATATCCAGGCAAATGCAGTGTTGCATCCTTCACATATTCACTCCTCCATTTCCTTTGTACTCCTTGAAACCCAGGGAAAAACCCATATACAAGGGGAAACACATAAGAAACAAGAGCTCAAATCCCAGTTGTAAGGCACAGGGATACATTAACATACACCCCCTCTAGCTCTAAACATATGTCTCTACAGTAAAGTAAACAAACAAAAATCCTTAAACTAGTTTATTAAAGAGAGCCATGGAGGAGAGAGGTTGGTCTTCTGATTAAAGCACTGGACTGGGGCTGAGAAGAGCTGCACTCAATTCTTGGCTCTTTTGCAACTTTTCTGTGTGACCCTGGGCAAGTCTCTTCACCTTGGATTTCCAAAGGTGCCTAAAGTACTTAGATGCCCAATTCCCATTACATTTCAACTCCCTTAGGCTAGGGTGACCAGATATCCAGATATTAGGGGCTCTGTCTTATATATGCAACTATTCTGCTCCCCCCATCTCAAAAAGTGTCCTGATTTTTCACACTTGCTATCTGGGGTCACCTCACAGGCGCTGACTTTCCAAAGTGCCGGGGGATGCTCAACCCCCTGCTCTGCCCCAGACCCTGCCCCCCCTCCACCCTTTTCCCCCAAGGCCCTACCCACACCTCGCCTCTTCCTGCCCCTGCTCCACCCCCACCCCACTCTTCCCGCCCACTTCCGCCCCTCCCCTGAGCGTGCCGTGTCCTTACTCCTCCCCTCTCCCCCCGAAAGCCTCCTGTGTGCCACAAAACAGCTGATCATGGCAAGCGGGAGGGTGGGGAGGTGCTGATCTGCGGGGACTGCTGGTGGGCAAGAGGCACTGTGGGGGAGGGAGGGAACTGACAGGGGAGCTGCTGGTGGGTGCTCAGCACCCACCATTTTTTCCCCATGGGTGCTCCAGCTCCAGAGCACCCAGGCGCCTATGGGTCACCCTACCTTAGGCTCTTTCGAAAATCCTAGCATTAAACTCTCTGTGGCTCAGTTCCCCATCTGTAACATGAGGGTAGCACTACTTCCCTACCTCACCAAGATGTTGTGAGGATAAATTCACTAGTGTCTGTGAGGCACTCGGATACTACAGAGATGGCCATATAAGTACCTAGAAAGAGTTAACCCTATCAAGTGTGCTACATATCTATCCTATTTCAGAATATCTCCAGTGCTTTTAGGAGTTAAAGGAAGAGAAAGATCTGAACTTTCCTGTGTGCTCCTGTGCTCCAGGGGCCTTTTAGTGCCAGCTGGCAGAAGGCACAAGGGATGGCATGTGAGGTCTCTACTGAGAGCCAGAAGCCCACTGGTTGTAATAATCATTGTGAAATGTATGCACAGGTAATATTTAAGGAGTTATGTATCAATACTGAAAATTAGGTTCTTAAGATCTTGGAGTTAAGGCAGGTCACCATGACTTACCTCAGAGATGTTCTTTGAAGGCAGGAGATAACTGATACCTTTCTCCCTGTCTGGCCATTTTTGTACTGTATGTCCAGTTGCATACTAAGCCAGGTACAAACTGAGAGACTGAAAAATCTACAGAAGAAATCTACAGGAAGAAACAGACAGCAGGGGGCATCCCATTTATGAATGAAGACAAAGGATTGGTCTGGTATATCATAGAATGCAAAAGGAAACACACTGATTCCTTCACCAAGGAGGGAAACTGACAGCGTGCTTGTCCCATGAAAGGAGGGTCACAGCCAGCCAGGCTGTAAAGTGCTGCAAGGATTTGGGGTGAGTATTACTTTACAAGACATAAGACTTACTTGTTGATTAAGTTCTAGGCTCTAGAATGTGTGTTATGATTTTATTTTATATGTAAGCATTTGTTCCCGACACTTCTACTTGCTACTACTTGAATCTCTGTGCGTTGTTAAATAAACATATGCTTGATTTCACCATAAACATGCCTGAGTTCTGGGTGTTAAGCCGGAGCAGAGTTCTAATGAGTGACTACTAAGCTAGGGTGTTGTTTCTTTGGAAGCAGTGGCTCTGAACAGTGAGAGTGTCCAGTGGACCAGGGGCTGGACACTCCAGGGAGACGCTCAGAGGGCTCGAGGAGTGGAGTGTGCCTATCACTAACCTGCAGAGTGACAGCAGGGCCTGTGAGACCAAGAGGGGGCACTGCTTGTGTAGCCCCTGGCTGGTGGAGGTAGAGAGCTGACCCACGGCAGGCACAGACAAAGTTACCTCATGTTAAGGGCAGGTGGTAGCAAGGTCCTCATAGCCCTGGGTATTCCCAGGAAACATCACAGCCACCACCCTACCCTGGAATAGACTGAATGCAGTGTTTAGTAAGTGACCGAGCTTTACCAGATTCCTGTGCCCCTGTGGAATGGAGTCTAAGACAGTACAGGGTCTATGACAAATATCAAGGGCAAGAGTCACTGGTATGCTCTGGATATTTCCGGCTGTTCCAGTGATCCAAAGCAGCTATAAACCCAGTATAATAGACCAGTTAAGCAACCCATTGCTACCAATGAATCTGGCCCCTTGTTGTTTCATTGTATTTATTATTTCTGTATACTACTTCAGTTCTACTATTCCATTGCTGGACAGACAGACATAGCTAGGAAGATGAAAACATGCTTCACAGGTTCTGCTAAAGCAGCTTAAATGAGCTGTTGTCCTGAGTTCGCTGCAGCAAACAGACTGAAATCTCCATCACGCTGTGTTGCTGCCGCCACAGACGCCGCAGCTCAGGCAGTCTAACGTGAGCGGCTGTCGTGGCAGATGCAGCCCATGACAGATGCAGAGGAGGGTAGTTAGCGTTTGTGAAAAATGTCCAACCTGGTGGATGGGCTCACAGTGGCCATGGGGCTGGTTGAGAGGCAGGAAGGAAGGAGCAGACGGGTTTAGAATCACCGCTTACAGATTTGTATTTGAAAGATGAGGAACGTAAGAGCTGTGATATTATGAACTCTGATGCCCAGAGAATGCAATGAAAACAGTGAACCACAAAGTGTTAATGTCCAAAAGCTGTCATGGTGACTGTAGTACTAGAGGGAGCAGGTGTTACTCATCAGAGAGAGAACTGCATTTCCCCAGCAGAGAGCTTTAGACTCTGCTTGTCTGTCTGTCATGTTTGTCCACCACAAGGGTTTTACACCTTCCTCTAGCATCTGATACTGGTCACTGCTTGAGACAGAATGTTGGTACGGCAATTGCATCCTATCCATCCATCTATCCTCTGCTATATCCCTGTTTCCCATTGATCTCTGTCTGCAGGTCTCTCTTGCTTCCCTTTCTCGCTCCGGCACTGCAGTACAATATGGCATATGAGATGGTGCAGCAGCAGGATACTGATTCTTGAGCCGCACCTCTGTCAGAAGCTGTTTTATTACGCATTTGGCTGTTTCAGTGGAGCCCTTGGCATGGCCTTACAGGGAGTGACGTTCTGCTTGTTATAACATTGTGGGAATGTGGGGGCACTATCAGGTTGCAGTACAGTCCCCTACCGTGATAAATTTTCAGAAAATTGACCTTCTTTCTCTACCTCTTTGCCCCATTCTCTTCAGCTCTTCTGTCTTGATCTCCTGCTCCATTCTCTCTTTCCCCTGTTTTATTTTCTCTGTTCTTCTGTTCTCTCCTATTCAGGTTCTTACATTGTGCCTATTACCATGGTATCTTTTCCCTTACTCTATATTTCTCTCCTCTTCTTTTCTCCTTCTCTCCATTCACCACATGCAGATCAGAATGAAACAGAGTCTGCAACTATGATCCAGTGTACACTACACATTGAACCATATCAGGGGATCTGGTTATGATAACTAAAGTTGTCCTTCCACACGGTTTCAAAATATAGGTGAGGCCAAACCCTGTTTTAACAAGTGTCTCTGAGTTGTGCCACAGCTTGGATGTATAGCGTGATTTAGAGGCATGGTTAAAACACCATTTTGCCCTATTGACTATGCAAGGCAGACACTGGGCCTGTTTCACTCGCAGGCTGCGGCTGCTTTGCACTGCTCTGGAGATTGTAAACCATTTAAACTGGGCTTATAGTTACTTGTGCCAGAATGGTGCAAAATTGCCTGAATGTACTGGTGAATCTGGCCCATTGTTTAAACCCCCGTGAGGACAAGCACATTGTACCTGGTGTTCTCCCAACATGCTCATATCTGTACTGCAGACAGGACTAAGTGGTCTCCAGCCAGTGGTACTTAGCTGATAACTGCTATGCTTTTCATATATTGTATATTAAACAGATTGTTTTATTTTAAGAAAGAAAAGCTTCCCATTCTCCACACACTTGTAACAGCATATCCTCCTTATTTCATGGCAGAGAGTCTAGGGGCAGTCACAATGCTAGCGGCTTCTGATGTTTACATAGCAGGTATAGTTTATAGGTGGAAATTAGTCTGTTTTTCCTGTTATCTGGGAACAGGTTAGGACTGTGATGTTCAAGGACAGCTCTGATTCTCCCCCACTTCCCTCTCAACGCACACAAAAGAAACCCACCTAAACCATTATCTTTTCTTACTACTGTCAGAGCTTTTGGTTGGCTAGAGGCTGGAGTTGTGTGTGGCTAACCCCTCCCACTTCCCATGTGATATAAAGCACAGCTCCCAGGCCCCGCTTCCAGGCTACAGCAGCTGCTTGTTGCTTTCCAATCCAGTGACAAGGACTAAACCTGTTGTCAGCTACCTACCCTCCTGCTTGCCCAGTTCTCAGCATGTGCCGGGGTTTAGCTGCACTTTCCACCTGCTTGGAAAGGTAAGAGGTTTTGAAATACTGGGACTCTGGGAAATAAAGGACTTGTTGATACAGAAATATTAGATTCAGTACCAGACCTTATGGCCCCTTTTGCATGGGCAATGATGCTGTGTTTGTAAAACTGGGACACACGCTGTGTTTAAATCATAGCCAACAGTGGTTCAAGCAATATAGTTTAGCACTATAGTCCCAGGGAGGAGGGGAATGTAGGGGTAAGCAATATGATGGGGTAGTGCTGCTTTTATATTTTTTAAATGCTTGAGGTTTGTCTTGCTCTCCCCTTCAATTGCAGAACTTTCTTCACCCTGACAGCAGCAAATATATTTAAAATAAACATTTCAAATAAACAATGATGTGGATGCAGAGTCTGGTGCTACTTGTTTGGCATTGAATTGATAATTTTTATAACAGTCCTCTCAGACACCTTGTATAAGCAGTAGTATAAATAACGTTTGCCCTGTACCCTTTCTTAGGGATGGTACTCTAGGGAGAAGGTGATCTAGCAGGTAGCTGTCTCTGTATTGTCGCAAGGATGCACTGGCAGGGAGGTATCTCAATACTGTCGCAGAGATGCTGTGGCACGGAGCTGTCTCTGTGCTGGCGCAGAGACGCCACTGCAGGCAGCTGCACCAGTACTGCCGCAGAGACCATGTGGCCCAGAGATAGCTCAGCAGTGTTGCAGAGACACTGTGGCATGGGGCTGTCTGCGTAGTGTGGCAGAGACAGCAGGACAGGGAGCTCTCTCAATACTGCTGTTGAGAAGAGAGCGGTTTCACTATTTTCCCTGACACTCCAGAGCAGAAGGAAAAAGTACTGAGGACAAGAGGATCAGGAGAGCAGAGCAGAGATTGACCAACAGACACCAGAGTGAAGAGGAAGCCAGAGGGATAATGAAAGAGCCAGACAGGGCAGGCAGCTGCCTCTATACTATACACTAACCAGGCAAACACCTCCACACATGCTCTATATGTGTATACAGGAGAAGCGTATACAAGAAAACGATCTCCCAAGGAACTACTGAGCGTTTTCTAGTGGCTTCTGGTGGCAAAGGGTGGGATTGGCGAAGAAAGGTTTTAATTCATAAATAGGAACACAATGACTAATACTAAAGATAACAGTGGGCTAAACCAATTACAGCAATAAGGGGCTGAAACTTCACTAGAGTCATGGAGCTGTGCCTGTTTCTATCAGTGTTTAATTTGACCCTGTGTATTCGTGCTGGATTCAGAGAGAGTGCTAGCTAATTGCATCCTGAGGCATTTTTCTGTAAGGATATAATGCTAACAAGCCTGTCCTAACAACAGGCCTTCCGTCAGTTTGATGAGCATGCACCTCCACCCCCTAGTGGCCATTCCTTGCCTCTTAGAATCTATTCCATACCCATCTGCTGCTCTTCTGTCTTTCAGAGCCAAACAACTCAAGACTCGTTTAGGGATCCTGCTTCATAAACCAGAGTTGGGACATGAGGCTGAGAGCTTCAGCACGTCTGAGCAGGGCACCAAACTGAGGTAAGCCACGCCTGCCTTTTCCCCCAACTCAGCACAGGTCCCCTGCTGCTGTACATGGGTAGACATAGGCAGAAGAGCACAGCAGCAGAGCACTGTATCATGAGAGAGTTATATTGGTCCCCAAGGACTGCCCTGGGATTGGATCATGTTCATGCCCCTCTCCATATGAGGAAGAAAGCACAATACATCAGCAGAACTCGCAGCTCTTCACCCACTAAGCCACACCCCCAAATTTTCAGAGGGGAATGTTTATTACCCAGCTCTACCAGTCATAAAACCAGACTGGACAACAGGAGCCCTAGCGAGTGGCATCTGGGACACAGTGTGGTGTCCCAGGTTCAGGCTAGACACCAGAGTGGATTTAACTGATTACTGGAGTCCCCCAACCAGCTGCTGGACTCTATCTGTGGACTGTAGTCAACCTTAGAACCAGGACCCTGAAGGCAAACTCTTTGCCAGAGCTTGTACCAGCTGGAATTGGCTCCTTTGAATATCTATATAGAAAAACAACTGGCCATAGCTACACTATGGAGCTAAGATCTGGCGAGTCATCTGGGAGAGTAAGAGAGAGGGAGAAAGAAAGAGAGAAAGGAAGGAGAAGACCCCAGAGGTAATGAGATTGCTGGGTCTCTTACTTTAGTTTTCTATGGAGTGTTGCAATCCTCTCCTCTTCCCCTAAACACAGTAGCCTCTGTCATGGAGCTTTTCTATCCCTGAGAATTTGGCCAGATTGAACACTTGTTAGTTTGTTTCCATAAAACAAGGTTAATACTTAACTTTTCCTCTCCAGAAACTCCTCAGAGGAAGCACTAGAATGGAAGAAGTCCTTTGATCACCTGCTGAAGAGTAGAAGTGAGTATGAGTCTCTTGTATGACAGAATGAAGGGGGAAGTACACCAAGACTGAGTGGGAGGGGAGACTAAGGGTTAACAGTGTGCGTAAGTTCAGCATAATAGGTAATGTTTGCCCATTCTCAGACTAGAATAAAAGAAAGGTCAGTCTTTAAGAACTGCTTCCTTCTCCCTCCTAAGAGTGCTGCTTTGATGCAAAGAGGGCAGTGGAGCAGATAACTGTCTGAACAAGCTGGGTAAAAACCAAACAGAATTGCTGCATGGCCAAGTAGGGTTGCTATTTTTCAGGCGTGGTCCTCTTTCTGGCAGAGACGTTGCATCATAATGCAATGCCATGTTGTTGGGGCATAAAAGTTATCATGCTGATGTTATGTCAGTGGGATGTATCACTTTGTCAAAACCTGGACTGTAAATTGTCCTGCAGCTAAGGTTATTACCCATCGCAGTTTCAATGGACATTCAGTAGAGACCCATGAAAATGGATATTGTTCAACAACTTTGGGGTTGAGAGGCAATGCTACCACTTGTACTATTCAGAATTTTCTTAGAGAGGGAGAATTCAACAGCTTCCCTCCAGAATGGTAGGAAATGCCCAGCCGTGGAGAAGTACTGATTCGGTGTGATTTTTAGTACATCCATCCTGCCATCCAGACTGTCTGTACTTGCAGAATTACTGGCTGTGCTATGCACTAGAGTCCCAGTAAGAAAATCTCTCTCGCACACAAACACACACGTAAGTACTTTTCAGGGATACACTTTGCAATCAGGTGAGGGTTATCTCCTTCCTACATGGCCGCAGTGCCCAGGAGTTGGACTATTAAATAAGTGACATTAGAAATGAGAAATCTTCAAACTAAAGTGGACTGAAAATGTTACTGACATGATAGAAATGACTCCACAGAGGAGAGGCCCTTCTCTACTGATGTGCTCCTTGTTTCAGCCTAACCCAAACTTTGTCACCCATTTTGGTTAACAAATACATTCAGAGGTGTGACTTCATAGACTCTCTTGAACATGGGGCATGTGTGCTTCTGCACTGCTTGTGACTTGTTCCCTGTACAACTGAGTCAAGAAGAAGGAGAAAGTCACCACTCAGATCTGCTCAGATACTCGTGGAGGGCATATAAATACCTAGATAGATCTCTGTAGATCTATCTATCTGTTCCAAAGCCACAGGGAATACACTCTGGAGAACCATTATAGAAGGTCAGACATGCAGAACATGCTGGAGACACAGGGTATGCCCCGTTCCATGCTTGTCTGTGGGAAAGTGGTTTATTGGAACCCAGAGGCCAACAAACAATCTGAGAAGGGTGGAATCTGTCTAGGGTGAAGTAGAATATTATGTCATGGTCTGAACTCCAAGAGAGACTTTTCAATAATGCTAAATTACTCAATAAGCAAGATGTATTTTAAAACCTGGCAGCATTCCTTATCTCCCAAAGCTGTATGAAGCTGCTTCCTTTTCCCCTTCTTCCATCCCTAAATCTAATTTTCCTTTTTCTTCACAGATGGGGTGGCTACATTCCATGCCTTCCTGAAGACAGAGTTCAGTGAGGAGAACCTTGAGTTTTGGTTGGCTTGTGAGGAGTTCAAAAAGTCCCGGTCAAAAACTAAACTGTCATCCAAGGCCCACAGGATCTTTAAGGAGTTTGTTCAAAATGAAGCACCTAAAGAGGTCAGAATTATTTCTAGCTTTGCATTTTATGGTGTGGAATTGAGAATTGTTTCACTTATTTAACATAAGTTTGTGACAGTAATGTGCTTTCCCCGCTCATACAATGGGAAAATTAGTTCCCACACGCCAAGCGCCATCTTATATGGAAGACACATCGTGTGATTTCCCAGAAGACCATACATAATATTTACAGTCATGACCCCATTTTATTTATGGAGGGAAATCATTTCCCTCTCCATATGGTAATGTTCCCACACCAAAAGAATATTGTGTGTCCTGTCCTTCCTCACAGGTGAATATTGACCATGAAACCAGAGAAATAACCCGGAAGAACCTGACAGCTGCTACTTCTTCTTGTTTCGATGCTGCACAGGCAAAAACCCGCACTTTGATGGAGAAGGATTCCTATCCCAGGTTCCTGAAATCTACCTCCTACCAGGACTTGACAGAGCAAATCACCAGCCATAGCACCAGCAAGCGGTTGCATACCTGATCCAAGTCACCTGCACTGCCAGAAACTGGGGGGTGAGGGGAAGAGCCACATAGTGAAGCAAAGGTAGAGGAGGCAGGAGCCTGAGAAACAGCGACTGAGGCAGAAAGAGCTCTGAGCAGTGGGGTTTTGGCTAAAGTCCTGGGATTTTATCCTTATCAGGATCCCTAGGATCTCAAATGCTTCCATGTACCTCCGAGCTGTAGGGAGAAGCACCTGTCCCCCATCACTGGCATGGGAGATGGTGAAATGGGAACTGTTGGGAGAGAGAGATGGGTGGACAGTTGCTTATATGCAAGCAAGCGCTCCAGTGACGGGTAGTGGGGAAAAAAGTATGCAAGAAGAGACTTGCACTAAACGTAGAGAGAGAGAGAGAAGGGAGCTGGATGAGAGGCTCCACCTGAGTGGCAGGTTCCATTGAAAACAGGGTAGATTCAATTCCCCCCCAAACTGTCCACCATCTGATGTTGAACTTTGTGCAGACAGACAGACATGCATAAAGAGCCTCAGTCTGCTCTCAAGACCCTGCCTCTATACTGACACAAATTACAAACTATACATAGCGCTCAGAAGTTTGCAATTTCCACAGTGCTGGGGCCAATGAACCCAAACTTGTCTGCATGTTCTTGCACCAGCTGGAATTTCCAGCATCTCAAATCATAAAGATGCAAGCACAACTTTGGGTTTTCAGCCACAGGAGTCCTGCATCTGCTTTGTTTTGATTGAGAGAGATTTCAGGTTCTATTCTGCCCTCTCCAGTGCATGCTCTGGGTGATCCTTCACACCTCCTTCCAATAAGACATCAGCATAGCATGAACATTTCCCCCCCCCCCTCATATAAACTACATGAGCTCATGTTTTGGTCCTCTAGATTGTTGCGTGCAATCTTGGATTGCATGCCCCACTTTTTTTTATTGTTGTCGATAAAATTTCATAGATGAGCACAGCACTTTACAAAGTATATACTTTGGATAAGCCCTTGCCCTGAGGAGCTTACAACTGAAATTGGATTTATTGTAGATACCACAGTCCTTAGATACCATGGTGACAGGCACTACATAAAAACCCAAGAGAAGTAGGTAGAGAGAACTCCAGTATAGTAAAAGGATGAGGCACAAGAGTGGCAACAGCTGGAGTCCTAATTGGTCAGGGCTGGCATTGTTTTTTCAGAAGACATGGGAAAGAGGAGGGTTAATAGATTTATTGTAGGAGTGTGAAATTGGAGAGTGATGTTTAAAAAGGCCCAAAGGGCCAGATTTTTAAAGGTATTTAGGCTACTAACTCCCATAATTTTTTTTCATTTGTGTTTTCACCTGCAAAATGTGCCCTTTGGTGATTGTGCCGGGGCTCCTCTTTTTATGTGCCTTCTTCAAATACAGAAGCTCACTAAGGGCTGGTCTATACTTAGCCGCTAGTTCGGCGGCTGGAAATCGAACTTCCTGGTTCGATTTATCGCGTCTGGTCTGGACGCGATAAATCGAACCAGGAAGTGCTCGCCGTCGACTGCAGTACTCCATCTCAACGAGAGGAGTACCGCGGAGTCGACGGGGGAGCCTGCCTGCCCCGTGTGGACCGCGTCTGAACCGCGGTAAGTTCGAAGTAAGGTATGTCGACTTCAGCTACGTTATTCACGTAGCTGAAGTTGCGTACCTTACTTCGACTTGGGGGGTTAGTGTAGACCAGGCCTAAGACCATGCCTCCTCCCCTGTGCCTCTGCCTCAACTGCCGTGAAAGGAGCCCTGCAAAATATAGAATAGGAGAGAGACCTCTTCTCCGCACAATCTTCCCCTAATAGGCTCGTGGAATTTGTTTCTCATGCATGTGCCTACAGAGAAAGTAAAATAGGTCCTTGAATGAAATGTGGAAGAGGAAATATGGAGATTTCCCTTGGTTTTAAATCTGGGCTTAAGTCCTCTACCTGGTGAAATCAATAGGCAGAATACTGAGCAGGTTACTTGCATTTAGTGATCCACACAAAATAGAGTTCTGTGAGGTGAAGCTAAGCATAAAGCTCTGAGACAGTGAAAGTGGTTGGAAGAACCCATTTAACCAGAAGTTGCTGCCCAACGCTTCTCTGAGGGGCTTGTAGAACATTTCATTTGCTGAGACTTCTGGCACAAGACTTGATTTTCAGAATCCCACCCTGATTAGGTATTTACAGATCCATTAGCTGGATTAGATAATTATTCAGACACTGAGGGTGCAGCTACACTGGTGCTAGCAACAGTATAAATACTAGTGTAGATCAGGCTCAGGTGTTTTCATTGAAAACCTGCCTTGAGCAAACTTTCCTGGTAAGACAGAAGCATAGTGCAATCTTACCTGAAGCAATTCATTCACAGAAGCCAAATCCTGAGATCCTTACTCAGTTGTTACTCATTCTTTGCCCAAACAACCTCCTCTTGACTTCCATGAGCATTTGCCTGAGTAAGGACAGAGAATTTGCCCTGGATCATTAGTGGTGTCCTCCTATTGCAATTTGTCTGGCTAGTGGCTTGAAGAATCTCAAGAACTAGTGGCTGGACTCTCTTCTGCATCCTCCTCTCTTCTTCCTTCCCATTCTACCTCTGAGTCTTCATGGGTTCCAGCTGGGTTCTCAGGAGATTCTAGCTGCTTTAATATTTATTATTTATTTTTCACAACTGGAACTAGCTTCATAATGCTATTGAGATACACATTGTTCTGATTGCATGGCTAACACAATATCATGATGATGATTAGAAAATAAAACAAAAAAAATTGAGATGGCTTCCCTATTGTCTTTGTTTTTAAATTACACTCTTTTTGCATTGGTAATCGTGGGACATAAATTATAGTTTATGGCAACATCGCACATGGGTTGCATGTCACTCACAATGTTGTTTTAAAAAACAATT